GGTGGTACAGCACCCCTTCTTCCAGCAGCCATGGTTTGTGGACTTTCTGATAGTAAAGAATTACAATAGTCCATTCTTGAAGTAACAAATGCATGGACTTGTTTTTTCAACCCATTCACGAGACCTTAGCAAGCTACACTATAACAATGCATGACCCCTTACCAAGCTACACTATAACAATGCATGACTCCTTAGCAAGCTAAAAAAAAGCCAAAAACTTATGAGGCCTTGTCAAGCTAAAAGAAATGATTTATGAAACCTTAACAAGCTGAAAAATATCCAGTCATGAGACCTTGACAAGCTACAAAATCTTCCATTTATAGAATTCTGATTTTGTATTTTTTCCTAATTCCCCTAAAAAAGTTGGACCTTTAATCTTTTAAGATGAGTTTAAACAGAGATACATCACAGCAAACCACTACATGTTCCAAATCCCCCAGTACTACAGGAGGAGGAGGTTTACAGAGATGTGTTTTTTGGCATGTATTGTACCTAGGTTTTGTGTCTTTCTTACCCTTTAGATAATTTTGTGGCGCTACAGAGATACATATGCAAATATCTTTGTGACTGTTCAAATATATCCAGGCTTTTCGAACATCTCAAAAAGTTCTAACTTTGACATCTAGATAGGTTCAAATGTCCATAACCAAAAGACATAAGTATATCAGTTTAAGCATTTATATTCAGCTGACAAGCAAAAAAAATGATGATAATATAAACAGCTATAAGTTTGTGACTCCATAAGCTGATTTAATTTTTGAAAGTAAATGGTACACATAAGAGCATGTGGTAGTAGTGCGCATTCCTGGACATGGTTGCGCTTGTACAGTCAACAGTTATAGAGACAGACTTTAAATTTTCTTTGAATGAGTTTCTCTAGAAGAAAATATTTGTTAGAGGTAAAAGTGAGACGTCCTCCTCTGTTGAGTTTTGGTATTTATTTATTGACAAACATTGCTTTCTTTACTCCTTTTTCATACTACCTGTCCTCTTCTTAAATTTGAACATCGTCACCATGAAAATATCTTAAAAAGTCCTGTACCAAAATTTTTATCTCTGTTAGTTTCAGCAGTAAAGTATTTAGTTCATTGATTGTAAATATCCACAGTAATTGTCCATAATTTCTGATTCAGAGTTTCAGTTTCTCTTCTTCCTCTGGATTTCAAGAGAAAAGAAACTTAAACTTTAAAACCAATTGGACAATACACAACAAAGGTCATACATTCAGGTTAAGAACAAATAAATAAGACAGAATCTGAAACTTATGTTTTACTTCTCTGGTGACGTTTTTACTTTTGTAAAGTGAAACTAAATTCCAACCATTCCCACAATATTTGAACTGGTGTGTTTCCATTCCAACAGCCTCTCTCATGTTCTGCATCAATGTCCAAACATATAAAAGTGTCTTTGAGCTTAGATTGAGCACTTTCGAGGACAACCTTTCATGAGAAGCATTCAAATCCTCAAACATTCAAACTTATTCACATGGAAAACAGCTGGAAAATGAAGTAAGTGATGGAATGATGAGAAATATTAGAAACCTAACACAATATCTCATTGTGTTTATAGGACTTTGTTCATTTTGTTCTGGTTCTTTTCAGGTAAACTCTTTTATACACTGTCCTCTGCTTTAGTTTTCTCTTCTGCCTTGGTGCTTTTAATTTGGTATTTTCAAAGTAAAATCTTTTTATTCTTTCACGTTTCTATATAAGGTTGTATTTCCTGAAATAAGGATTATACATTTATTTTGTTTCTTATGTTGTTTTTTTTTCTTTTGAACGATATGGGTTTTATTTGGATCAAAATTATTTTAATCCACAGAAGTTCCCAGTTGTAGATAATTTCCAGACATTTGTTGGATCTTGCTTTCTGTTCTCAACATAATGTCTTGCCTCTTTTATAATTTATTTTCTCCTCTTATATATCACATAATTAATTTCAAATAAGTTAAAAGCAAATTAAAATCCCATATCTGATTACTATGTTCTTTCTTCTACTTTATGTGATTTTCTCATCAGTTCTACAGAGGCCTTGGAATCCGAACTGAACGCCTTGCAGTGCCACTTTACCTGGAATCTAGAACCTTCCAAGTCCAAACTGAACTATCTCAGGGATGCACTGGAGGACATCGCCACAGATGAGGGAAACGTCTGGCTGGGTCACATCTACAATCTGCAGGGGTTCATCCAGTACAAGCTGGGCTCCTCTGAAGAGGCCCTGAAGTTCTTCAGACGAGCCACTGAGACCTTCCAGCGTCTTAAAAACTCTGATGAAGGTCCCTGGTTGATGGTGAACTTTGGGAATCTGGCTTGGCTGCACCATCATATGGGTGAAGATGAGAAGAGTCATGATTACCTGTCAAAAGTTGAAGCTCTAATGAGAGAATACCCAGCTCCACCTGAAGAAGAGCTCCACCAGGAGGTCTGTGCTGAGAAGGCCTGGACCCTGATGAAGTTTGACAAAGAGAAGAAGCTGCAGGCTGAAGAGCTCTTCCAGAGAGCCGTGAGGATGCAGCCAGACAATCTGGAATGGCAGACCAAATGGGTCATATTATTAGCAGATTGCTTCAAAGTTAACATGAAGCGCATGACTCCCGATGTATTTGAAAAAGTGAAATCTGCCTCAGAAAGAGATCCAGAAAACTTGTATGTTGCTGCTCTTTATCTGAGGGCACGAGCTGCAAAAGGAGAACAAATTCAGGATGAAGCTAAAAGATTGGCTGAAAGGATCCTAGAAAGTTCTACAAAAAGTTACAATGGCTTCAGCCACTTACGGCGACTGTACATTGAGTATATGTCTAAGGATGAAGCTATTAAGTTAGCCGATGAGACCCTGAGGAGATATCCTGACTGCCGTTGTGCAAAGGAATTTGCTGCGATCTGCTACAAGAATAAAGTTCTTTCCCAAGACTTCCCACCCAGTAGTCAAAGCGGCATCGTCACACGAGCTATTAGTCTCTGGGAGGAGAGGATTGTTCTCTATGCTGAATCTAATCTTAAAGATCAAATAACTCTAGCTGATTTATATGCAAAGGTAGATAAAGAGAAAGCTGAACAGATTTATAGTGAGATGCTGAATAGAAAACACCTGGATTCAGCAGAGAAACAGATGCTTTATAATTGTTATGCAAGATATTCATTCTTCAATAGAAATGATAGTTTCAGGGCTATTGAGTACCACATGAAGGCAGTAGAGATTCAAAAAGAATCCAGGTATCGACAGAAAAGCATCATAAAGCTAAAAAAGACGCTG